ATAATTTTTGGTATAGTAATTGTGACTTATTCACACTATATACATTTGGCTTCCGCAACACAAGGTCCATCTTCTTAACAATCAATGTTGGTCAGAAGAGAGTCATATGATTATAAATTTTCCAGAGTGTAAGATTTGGAAACTAGGAAACTAGATGAAGAACAAAGAAAAAGAATAGAAGGTCAACTTAAGTATCTTGACAGATTTTATAACACCAATATCTACCTGATCATGATGCTTACATTAAGGTAGGCCGCCTATATTACACTCCTGACGTGCGGCCCTTCTCCGGTCCCTGTGTGAACGCGAGATATTTTGTGCACCGAGCGGCCCTTTTAATATCTACACAGCTATATTAGTAAAAAGTGTGGAACTTAGTTTTGTAATTTACCTCATTGAATATGTGGTGATTTGTTGTCCAAGGATACAAAATCATTGTGTAAAATTGAGCTGAAAATGAATTCTTTTCTTGCAGTGTTGGGCCGCATCTGGATCAGCCCACTCGAGTATTGCAGCCCACCACTTGGCCCACTTTAGCCCGAGCTCGTCTATGATAGACCGACTTAGATTACGGGATTCCTAGTTATGATTGGTCTTATATGTGTCGGGTGTTCACACCAAACCAATAGATGCATTATATGCATTCTCATCTCACTAAATTAATTTATCATGGTGTATTAATATAGTTTGGTGTAAGCACTCGGTGCGGGTAAATATTTACTTAAATTTTTATTTTACCATTTTGCCTTGTATAACAAAGAAACAAAATGACTATCAAGTTTGAGTGACTAAATGCGTCTCAACTTTGTAATGGTACTTAAAGTTTTCTTGAACTACTTAATCAGAATTATTTAACAAGCTCAGCACACATATGATCACAATATCTTAAATGTGCAGACTGCATATGGTCATCATACATAATGAGGTCGATATACATTGGTTTTAGCGTGTAAAATGTAGCTAATCATTATTGTATTTTTAACATGACCAAAGCATTTTAAAGTTGTCCTTCATCAATAAGCACATTTTTCTAATTTAAATAACAATAGTGTCCGAACAAATAATACAACTTATAGCCTGTTTGGCCAAGCTTTTTTTGGTCAAAAATTAAGGTGTTTGGCCAAGCTTTTGGAAGAAAAAAAGTGTTTTTGAGGAGAAGCAGAAACAGTTTTGGAGAAGCAGAAAAAAATAGCTTCTTTCCAAAAGTATTTTTCTGAGAAGCACTTTTGAGAAAAATAAACTTAGAAGCAGTTTTCAAAAGTTTGGTCAAACACTAATTGTTGTTCAAAAGTGCTTTTCAAATTAATTAGTCAAACACAAACTACTTCTCACGTTTAAAAGTACTTTTGAGAGAAGCATTTTTCAAAATAAGCTGATTTTAGAAGCTCGACTAAACGGGCTATTAGTTATTCTCCATAGGTATATCAATTAACTTCCACTAGCATCACGTATCAGGCTGACTCTATCTTCCTAATCGAATTAGGAACATGTTGATTAGTCGTAAAGGATGACTTCAGCCTACAAACAAGGATAGTTAATTTTCTTTTGTAAAACATTTTTCTTAAATAAACTACCTTTTAAAATTCAAGGTAATCAAACATTGAAAAGGAATTTCTTCAATAAAAAAATTTATAAATATTTTTTTCATCATGGAAAATACCCTCCAAAAGTAAGTTAAAAAGTTGTGCTAAAATTGTATGCAAACATAAACCTAGAAAAGAAAGCTCACACAAGGTGAATTTTTTAAAATATTCTTTTTCACTTAACTTAAAATATTTTTTGCTTAAAATATTATTTAATTCATGTAAAAAAAAATACTTTCTTAGTAATTTTATTTACGAGACAATTTACTCCAAAACAAATTCACACTATCCAAATCTATTGACCCAAACCTCAATAGTAAGCGTTACAACATTGATAAAAATGCTTTTACTGTATCCCAACGACCACCTGAACATACACAAGAAATCTAAGGAAACCGCAAAGACAGAGGAAGAGAAAAACACACACACACACACTCACAGAGAGGGAGGAAGGGGAAAAAACACATACGTACAAGCAGAGGGAGAGGGACAGAGATGAAGAAAGCAGGAGGAGCAGAGAAGAAAAAGGTAAGGAGATCACAAGCTGTCGCATCCAACACTGATTCTCCTTCTAGGGTAATTCCACTCTAATTTAATCCAAATTAATTGCATAAATATATCCAATTTTTTTGGGTTTTTTTTTTAATTTCGTTTTTTGGGGGAAATGGGTTTGTTTAATGGGAACTACTCTTGCATTTCCCCCAATTACTTTGGGTAAATGATCTTGTTTTAGGAAGTAATTTTGAATTGTATACACGGGACTCATAATTCCTAGGGTTCAAAATCATGTCCAGTTAACGGGTTTATGGAAAATGGGTTTCTTAATTTGGACTTTTTCATGCATTTCTCAACAAAGAAAATGTGGGGAAAGAAAAAGATCTTGTTTTTAGGAGGTAATTTGAATTGCGTACAGTAGGATCAGATGTCTTAGGGTTCCAAATCCTTACAAAGTTGTGGTCTTTTTGGAAAATGGGTCTGTTTAATTTCAGAGTTATGGGGTACCTGTGTTAGTGGGATGTAGCAGGTACTCTGTAGAATAGTTGTGGTGCGCACAAGCTGGCCCAGACACATCCGTCATAAAAAATGGTTTTCTTACATTTCTGAAAAGAGTTTTTGGAAAAGATTTGATTTTAGGAAGTAATTTGAAATGTATAATCAGGAGGTTTTAAAGATCATAATCCGATCAAAATTTTAATTGAATATTTTCTTGCATTTTCCTCGAAGAATGTGTGAAGTTGATTGAGATTTAGTGATTTTGATTGGCATGAGATGAGTTTAAAATAAATGGAGTAACGTGGTCTATGAGGATTCGTCTAGCCAACCCTAACTTGTTTGGGGCTGAGACATAGTTGTAGTTAAGTCACTGCGACAAAGAGATTTTGAACTTAAAATTTTGGTATTATTTCGGCTAGTATGTGATAGAGGGTATCCGTTTCTGCTAGCTGGAAGTGTGAATATTGCAAATGTATTTCTAGGGATTGAAAACGAACTTTTGCTTTCTTGGATCATGTTAACTTTATATAGTCAACTGATTGTGGATGACATTGTGCCCTTTTTTGGGAGATGAGAGAAATTTGCGAAGGTATTTGGTAAACTTGCAGTGGACTAAGTATTGAATGATAGTTGGCACATGTTGAATTGTTTTTCTAACTGGGTAGTCGGGATTCATTTTTGTCCAGTGCAGTTAATGCGTGATTCGTTCCGCTCTATTTACTTTGCGAAATCTATTGGATTTATCTTAAATCCTTGAAATGAACTAATTAGGACTAGCACTATAGGGGATACCTTCTCTTTTTCTGCTTTTTTTTTTGGGGGGGTTGTGGGCAGTTTCACTTTTGATCATCTTGCTGAACTACACTATTAGTGGACAGATAACTTAACCATATTGGCACCCTTGAAAAACAAGATAAAAAAATAAAGTTTCTTGTCATCGAATATACTGAGACGTGCTCAGCTTCGTCCACTCTCCTCCTGCTGCTATTTCTGCCCTTTTTATTTTATGATGCTCATACTCATGCTATTTACTTTGAGTTTCAGAAGCAAGCTGCAAAAAAGGATGTCTTCCAGCTATTTGCCGAGAAAGTTAGAGATCATAAGGACTTGGTGTCTCGTTGGGCTGTTCTACAGGAAACACGGGTAGAGTATTTCAGAGGAAAAGATTTTGTTAGTTTTGTGAGAAATCATTTAGAACTGAAAGACATACTCGAGTTGGATAGAAGTTTGGAACCAGAAGATATTGCCAACATTCTGCTTAAAAAGAACCTTTTAGTCCGATGTGATCGTGTTGTAAAAACTGTTCGGCCTGGCAAGAAGAAATTGTCTACTTTTCCAGCGCATTTGGAGATATACCATGTGAGTTCCTTTCTTGAATTTAGTACTAGTTATTTTGAGAAATTTCTGGCTTCCTGTCAACCTTGCCCTATTCAGTTATAAATACATTTGTTTTTACTCTTTCCGTGGATTAGTAATGGCTTTGAAATTTTGTCTATTTGCTTAACGGAAGTGTGATCATAAATTTAGCATGAACATATATTTGCTATTCTTTATCCACACAATTAAAAAAAAAAATCGATCATATATTTGCAATACAGCTGATGTTTCTGCTTGAAAGGGCATGTATCTAATCTGTGGAACATCCATTTGTATAGTTTACATGTCTTATAGCTTGTTTGGCCAAGCTTCTTTTGAGGCAAAAGCGCTTTTTTTTGGTCAAAAGTGTTTTTTTCTCTAAAATTAAGGTGTTTGGCCAAGCTTTTGAAAGAAAAAAAAAAGTGCTTTTGAGGAGAAGCAGAAGCAGTTTGGGAGAAGCAAAAAAAAGTAGCTTCTCTCCAAAAGCACTTTTTTGAAAAATACTTTTGAGAAAAATACACTTAGAAGCAGTTTTTTAAAGCTTGGCCAAATACTAATTGCTGCTCAGAAGTGCTTTTCAAGTTAATTAGCCAAACACAAACTGCTTCTCACCAAAAGTACTTTTGAGGAAAAACATTTCTCAAAATAAGCTGATTTTTACAGTTTGGCCAAATGGGCTATTACTGTGGATCCATTCCAAGAAATCTTAAATCCTTTGTCATTTTTTCTATAACCCGGGGGGCCTGTGGCGCACGGTCCAAAACTCAGTGGATCCATCTACCATTCTCCACTTATACTAGACTTTGTCTGCAGCAGGGTTGAATCCATGACGTGCGCCTGATTCACACGTTATGCGATGCTCTCTTAAATCTCTTAAATCCTTTGTTAAATCCTTAGATGTCCTACATCTAGATATATACCAGAATCCTTAAGTAAAAATTAGTTGATGCATGCAATTCCTGATAGTTACTGGAGTACTTGTTACCTTAGAATCTGTAAGAAACAAAAGTAATCTTTCTGCAAATTTATTTTGTAAGTCATGCTATTCACTGATTAAGAAAGGCTTTCTTATAAACATCACAACCAAAAGGAACCGAGGATGTCTTATTCTCTATCCTTTCACATATAATTTTCCTTGCTCTGTTGCTAAAATCTTCTCCTTTCTTAAATCGGAAGATAAGAATGATCACCATATTAGCTGATGGCTTATATCATTGTCTCAGATTTCCTCTTTCTGTAAGTAAGCTATTTATTTCCTATTTCTGTCAAAACCAAGTCTACACTCTATCAAAAGCTAGACGTCAAATATATGGTGTGTTTATCTATAGAAAGCTTATCCTTGTCCTCTTTAAACGTTCTCGACTTGGATATACTGACCTTTTATTATGTAACCCTAGAGTAATGCATTTTACATGGTATTCTTGCAGTTTTTGAGGTTATGCTTCTTCACCTCTGTATGCAGGATCAAGTATTTTCTGAAAATGACGCCTTTTTCGCGTGGACATTCGTCAAAAGAAGGCCCCTGTGGCAAACACTTCTCTCATTCTGCTGGCCAGTTTTGACATTAGCAATCTGCTTGTTTCCTGTGTATCCCCATCAGGTCAAACTGCTTATACTCTACTCCTGCGCTGGTCTCCTCCTCCTTATACTTTGCCTACTTTTGTGTAAGTTTCTGGTGCCTATTTCAGTTTCATCTTTTGTTTGTTGTCTCATTGTCTTCCGATTTTAGAGAAATATGATAATGTGGTCATGAAACCTGAAATTATGGCAGTTTCTCATAAAGTACAAACAAGTAGCTGTTTTATATATCACATCCAAACCAAATACTTTATTCGAATGACCAAAGCAACAGGTTCAGGATGTTCGCGTTGTTTAGATTATAGCTAGTTATGTGGGGATTATAATACAGAGATTGTTTATGTTGTGAATAATAATATAAGAATTGCTATGCGGTAAATACTAATGCATGGATTGTTATGCAAGGATTGCCTAACATAAGAGCATTTTTGTCTTTAGATAATCTTATCCACATAGTGATAATACATATTACACATTCTATTCCATGTTAAATAATACATAGATTCCCAAATAAGTTGTAAGGAAATTAGTAAAGAGGTGCACAAAAGAATTGTATTGTTGGTTGCTTGGTCAGTTGATATTGTCCTTGTCAAGTTGTTTTGACCAACCCTTTTGAAAGTTGTGGCTTATATAAGCGGTCTGAAGTGATTCTGTTGATAATTTCTTATTTAGTACTGCATAATGAGTAGATTAAAAAGTAAAAGTACCTAGTTGTGGTGTGTCTTTTGGCATTATTATCCTAGCAGCTGTTTGTGGATTATATTTAATAGATTCAGCTCACTGTTAAAATGTATTGATTCGTCTAGGTAGCAAATATATAGGGCACTAGGTTCATGTCAGACACGGTCACGAAAACACAAGAGTTAGAAATAATATCGTTTGTTATTTATCTAATGGATTTAATTTATAGCAAAGGACCCCTAAGTATACTCAAGCCAACATCCTGAAACTGTCGCTTTAGTTCCCATAAAATCTTTGTTTTTTTTTAGTGACATATAAATCATGCTCATCTAGCTCTGTCTAGTATATCTTGGCAATGCTATTTGAATTAACTGCTATTTGAAAGAATAAATTGATGGTTACCGAAAAAGAATATGCCGATGCTTGCAGTGAGAGCCATGGTCTTTGGTGCTTTTTGGATTCTTCTTGGCAAACGAGTCTGGCTTTTCCCCAACATTCTTGCTGAGGAGGCAACACTCAAAGAATTGTTCCAGTTTTGGCCCCAGAAAGATGAGGGCGAGCGACCTAAGTGGACTGCAAGGCTCTTCTATACAATTGTAGCTGTGGTGGCTATTTTGATCCTGAGGCATCATGCTCCTGATGAGGCTGCAAGAGCCAGGTTTGCTTACTTGCACTTATACTCCGATACCTGTTTGATGATTTATGAAAATCCAGATACAGTGGGAGCAAACTTTATCTGTTTTATAACGATGATGTTCTATTACCTTATATAATGCATTTTATGTACTTGTAACGTATTACACTATTTTATACCATGGTATATATTAAACATTAACTGCAAGTTTTGGAAATTGAATCTAGATCCATAAATTTGCCAAGAAAAATTGCAAATCCTTACTAACACCGAACCTTTTCTGACATAAAAAAAGAAGAAAAGATCAAACACAAATTGGATTGAACTAGATCTAGCTTAATTTTTTAAAATTTAGAATAGGATGGGATCAGATGTTATCATGATCTTAAATTTTCCAAATATAGTATGAGACTAGGAAACTAAATCAAGAGCAAGAAAAAGGCTGAATGATCAACCTATGTATAATGGCGATTCCAGAATACCAATATCTACGCAGCTACATTAGCAAATAATGTGGAACTTAGCTTTGTAATTATAGACTCAATTTGCTTAACCTGGCAATTCTGATGAAACTCTGTTGTAAGGTTTGAGTACACGCTACCCTCCCTAGACCCCACATGTGAAAATATACTGGGTATGTTGTCGTATATATGTTGATTTGTTCTACAAGGATACGAGAATGTTATGCACAATTGTGATTTGTCCCTGAAAAAGAATTCCTTTCTTGCAGGTATCAGAGGCGGGTTTCTAACATTATTGACGATGTACTTGAGTGGTCTCCAAGTCTGGCTTTGTCAGGCATGATGGAAAAGCAAACTGTGATGAACATTACCGAGCCTCATGATAATGTAACTGATAGCAAGGGTAGTGATGAAAAAGTATTTTCCCCAGCTGATGTAGATGATGAATCCACACCCAAAGAAGAAGTTGAAGAAGTCACTGAAAATGTAGAAGATAGTGATCATCAGAAAAACTTTTAATTTTATACTATTAGAACATGTGCTTTCAGGAAAGCAGCAGATTGCAATTTTTTATTTCTTTCCTTCTCAACTTTTACTTATATGTTCAATATGTATCAGCGTAGAAGTTTGTAGTAAAGACGACGAGAATAATTTTATTGTTGTAGAATTTCTCCTTCCAGATATGATACTTTATTTTGGACTCATGGGAGCTGCAAGCTGCAAATTTTGAAGACCAAGTGTTTTGAGTTGTTTTATGGTTCCGCATTGGAAAATTTCTGTAGTATCAGTACCTTGTCTTACAAATTTTTAGAAAAGATTCATTCTTTTTTTTTCCTTCAAAAATTTAGTTTATTTATAAGCAGACACCTAAAAGATCAATCATGTCTATTTAAGGTGAATAATATATAGCTATGTTTACGTGTTACATACATTCAATGTTCTCGAGTAATTAGTCGCCGTAGCATATTCTTGTTGGTCAGACAATTCTTTCTAAAACCAACGTCTGCTCAACAAATATGATCTTAATTGTGTAGAGCTTCATTGTAATTGTGAGTTTTGCACACCTTAACCATTGAAAAGTCAAATTAAACCTCAGGAAAATAAACAAAGTAAAACATCATTGGACCATGAACCTCAAATCTGCCATTGTATCCTACCATATCTAGCTCCCTAATCAAACCAAATTCTAAATTTCTGCAACAGTAGTGAAAGGAAATAAGACAAGTATACAAACCAAACAACCCCTTTACATGGTTCTAAACTGCAGTAAATGGCCAACTATACGCCTACTAAACAACTTTCTAACACTAGTCCTACTCCATCTATTTGTACAGAAGGGAAGAAGTAGATTTCCAAGCAATGCTGCAACGCTCGTTGTCTCTATGCTCCCGTTAACACTAAAGTAAAAGCCAAGAATGATTTGCCGCCCAGCTTGAAGAAGCCAAGAAATGAAACAATAACTGTAAAACTTTCTGTCCATACTCAAACCTCGTTGCAGTGCAAAAGCTGGTTTAGACACGAACGTCTCCCCAATTACTTGCCAGAGGAATCTCCCTCCCTGCTTTCAGCAGACTGGTACTCATCTTTTGATTCCTGAAAGCTACTTTGATTTCCATAACTACTACCATTTGAATAAGAATGCTGAAGCTCGGCCAACCTTCTATTTCCGTGCCTATTTTGAACATCAGCAGCATTGAACTGCAAAGGTTCAGAGCCCGATGAACTCACGGAACCAGCTCCCTTGGAAGCATCAGCATCTGTCTTTTTGGCAAAACGTCCTCCGGAGGCCCTTGCCCTTCTCAGTGCATGCTGATGTCGAGACTCGTGAAGATATGGCTGTAACATGAGGAAAGGATACAGTATCATTGCCTTGAAAATGCACCAGATCATTAAATTCGGAAGTGACTACAGAGGACATAATATTATAGGCAACATAGTGGAACTACTAAAATTCTCATATATCAAGCCTGAAAGTTGTGCCACCCCATTCCACCTGATCCCATAATCTTGCCAATGTAGTTATAGGGACAGATAACAATAATACTCTCCCCCATCCCATTTTACGTGACACTCATTCCTTTTTAGTTTGTTCCAAAAAAAACGGCACCTCTCTATGTTTAGAAACAATATAACTCTATACTTTCAGTTTTATCCTTAATGACAGGATCTTTATGGCCACAGAAATTTAATGGCATGCTTAAACCACATGTTCCGAGTCTTTCTTTCTTTCTTAAACTTTGTACCCACTCAAAGATCTTCATATTAAATAAAATGGAGGGAATTGTATTTCTATAGAACTAATGGTACAAGGTTTCCTTTTTCATAAAAAAAAATGCTACAAGATTTCCTTTTCAATGAATTACGAACTCCTGTAAAAGCTGGAATAGGAAAAGTAGAAGGAAACAACAGTTACAAGCAAACAAACTTATTTGGTCCCACATTTATCAAAAGGGACAGTGACCAAATTTAGCGTTGATAGCCTTTATTTCCTCTTAGACAAGGTGTATTGAGTTAGAGGGCACTAATGCCATATACTTTTTACTTGCTTCAAAAAGAATATATCATCCGTTCTTTGTCCTTATTTTCCGATAAGGACATCAGTTCTTTGTCCTCCTCCATTGAAATATAAAATTCTTCATACTGCAGAATTTCATTACATACTGTTAACCAGTCAGAAAATATGGAAGTCCCATCAGCGCCTAAGATAGATCTGCCTCCATACCAATTGGATAGGTACAAGCAGTTGGTCGAAGATTATATATCTCCAGAACACTTACACTATGTGGTAAGTACTCGTAAAAGGTGCCAAACAATTTCCAGACAGAAAGGGAGGAAAGAGAAAATGGAAAGAGCGATGTGGGTGGAGCACATACTAACCTTCCTAGCTTTTATCTGCTTCTTTTCAAGTTCTGCTTTGGCACGTGACTGTCGTCGCTGCAGGATCCTTCGATACTGCTTAGCATTAACATAAACAGGTTCTTGAGCCATTTCATGTGGCAACGGCATCCTTGCATAGTGCATATCAAGTACATGTGGAGGAACCTAAATAGTTCAACAATATGTAAGGACCTCAAAAAACAAAAATCTTGCCATAAATTAGAGCTAAGATTAAATAATGCTCCTTACACCAACCAGATCAGACTTAAGCTGACATAATGATATTTTTTCATGTCATTTTTCACTAGTTTTATATGTTTTATTTTGTTTTTCTAATCAAATGGAACAGAATGGATGAATTTGAGAATTCATTTAGCCAATCCAACTTGTAAAAGAGGAATGTAGAAACAGGTGAAATGCGAAATGCATCTTAGAGCTCTTTTGGCACAAAACGCTCCAATATGGACCTACAGTTTTGCAGGTGATTTTCAACAATATGACATAGGAGTCGAGTCATTCATGAAGCGAAGATCGAGCAAGAGCCTTTATTTCCATGGGATTCAGCTTTCTAAATTGAGAAAAGAATAGAGATGCAGAAATGCGCACGAGCTCACATCTTCAGCTTTCAAGATAAAAGAGGGCAAAGAGAGCACCCAGGGATATGGTCTAATTGTCAATGAAGTGGGTTATAACCATGAAGTCTCAAGTTCACTTCCATTAGGTGATTTCTTCCCAAATTGGTAAATAGAGTTACCTGGTACCTCTTGATAGTGAAAGGTAGCAGGCATCCCACGGATTTAGTCGAGGTGCGCGCAAGCTAGCCGGACACCACGGTTATTGAAAAAAAAAAGAGGCCAAAGGGAACTCTCTGAGGATTCTCAGCAAAATAAGAGGAGCATTTGCATGTCAAGGTGCTAAGTGATTCAAATTCAAAATGCTACTATCCTGGCAGTTAGAAAGAGATGTTACTGATACAGGCTAAGGAGTTGTACAACTGCTGCTGTCTGGTCAATTGTGATTCGAAGAATATACAAAGTCAAGGGTGTTGGTTTGGCAAAATGATCATATGAAGACATCGTGAAGAAGGGCACATAGCTAGAAAGGAAATTCCAACCCAAGGGTATCCCCGGAAAAAGAGATGATATGCTAGTACCTAACCCTAAAGAAAAAACAGACACGCATCGTGTACCATTAAAAATGAATATCAGAATCAGTGACAGCTTAGCTTCATCTTTTAGGACTGATCACTAGAGCCTGAAATTAAGTAGAACCGAACAAGGAAATATTCTTCAAAGAGATGTCAAAGAAGATGCATAGCATCATATGTTTGAACTTAAATGATACCAAATAAAGTTAATGAATTAACAAGCAGAGAAGAGTGTCCTTTTATACTACTCATTCTGCAGAAGACAGTAACCCGTATATAGCAACAATTTTCATAAGAAAATGCCATGTATATTGATTAGGATGGAAGGCGACCTTGTAAACAAGTGTTATATAGCTTACACTTGACTGTGTTGGTTCACTTATAAACGGAACCAAAGATGCTCTCACCACCTCCCACCCCCAAAATCAAGAATCCAAACTCCTTTACTGACAATGAGTTATAACATCTCTCCTCGTTTCTAGATTTCCCATTTGCGCAAAAGCACAAGCTTCCTTTTCAGAACCGTTTCGCTCCTGCTAGTGCTACAAGAAACTCTAAAGATTTCTTGTATTATAAGATTGAACTTAGGTAAATTTTTCTCAGTCATTCTTTAAGTAATGAGTCTTTCTCAATCATTCTGGTTGGAAATTCAACGAAGCACTTAAACGTAGTGCCTGCAATGCCTAATAATGGTGCTGGTGTAGTGCATCCATAGACGTACAAATCAGACCTAATACTTCCACAAGAATGGGCTATCCCGGTCTTCCTGGACAATAGCGGAGAAAGTAATACACTTCCAAAATATATTCCAAGGCAGTAAAGCACAAGCTCTTGACAGCAAGTAGTGTCTGAGAAGGTGAGTGTTTCTAAAACAACGGTAAGTGACAAGAAGCTAGTAGAGGCTCAGCAGCAGACAAACGCATATATATGATTTAACACTTTCCAGAAACACCATAAACAAGACAGAAGCAGGTGTCCAGCACTGACAATACCCTCGGTCACTCAAATCAGCAGCATGATCAATAATATTGTCTGAGAATGTGAGGTTATCTTTCACTTTGAAGAGCTTAGATGAAGTATTTGAATAAGGAATTAAAAACGTGAAGTTGACTTGAAAGTTTAAATATGTGCATACCAAAGGCTGGCCAAAAGCTGTCATCATCCCACCATAGTATGGATCAACGTACGGATTAGGAGCGCAGGCCTGGATGTCAATCAAACAGAATAACTCTCACATTAGCCATATGACATTATCAATTGAATAACTCCATAAAACAGATAACTATAACAGATCTCAAAACCCATAGAAAAGTCAAACATACTTACTATAGAGTGCCCAACAAGTGCAAGTTGTTGGGTCTGTGTTAGGGTGCCATCAAGTTTTGGAGGTATGGTTGGCGCAGCTGGCTGAAAATTTTGATCCGCTTGCCCGTAACTCCCATCTAATCTTGAAACAAGATTTTGTTAACACCAACACATTTAACTAGTATAACAATATCAATAAGATTGCTTTTCAGAAAATGAATTAAGTGATACAATTACGGGCAGACAACAAAGGACAATTACTTAGTAATTCTCACAAAAGGTAAAGACAATTAAAAGAAATTTTTTTGAAAAAAAAGGAGGAACCTTTAGTTTTTAAATTTATTAATTCTTTCTGTTATCATTTTTTTAAAAAAA